CACGCCATGCAACTGAGCTGCTAGGGCAGAGTGGGATTAGTGCTGGTTCTCCTATTGCAAAGCAAAAGGAGCCCTGTTTTGGGTTTGTGGGTTTTTTTTAGGTTAAACTCCTCCAGAACAGAACTGCATGCTCTCTGAGGTGGTCTACGAAGCTAATAGCAAATGGTTTTGATAGGACTGAAATTTTATAGCTTTAATATGACATTTGGAGGGAAAAAAAAAAACTAGACTGTTACTAGTCACAGCTCAAGGGCATAAAACCATTTGTAATTTATGAACATTTAGAATTTAGATTCCCCAAAGTAGTTAAATTAACTTTGCAGCTCAAGTCTTCGAAGAGAAAATGAATAGTTTAATAAAGCAGTTAAAGAGGAAAGCTCTGTTACACAACAGACATGCTGAAGTGCAGGCTAGGTACGTTTCCATTTTGTCTTCATTTAGGGTTCTAGTCAATGGAGTGTTGAGCTGTAATATGTAGAACACAAAGAAACTTTTAAACATGGACACACAGAAGACGTATGGTGCTAGAACTTCCCAAAGCAGGTGCAGAATTGTTTGCCTTTCAAAAACAAAAAAAAGCCCTCTCCAATCATCACCAATGAGGTTTTTGCACTACATGTGCTCATGCAGTTTAGTTTGCTTTCTCCAACGGATTACACCAGCTCCAATAGTCACTGAAGCCGTACCTACACCTGAGTGCTCACTGTGCTGCTGTCACTCCGCTCTTTGCTGTGAGCCTGTGGTGAAGACGCTTCACTAAATTGGTGCAGGGCAGAGTAGTAACGTCAGATGCAAATTCACATCTCCCTAATTTGGGAGAAGCTGAGCCCAATGAGTTGGTTAACACGAGCAGGCAGCTAACACGATACTAACACTGCTGTCATGTTATTTCCTGTACTGACATGAAGACGATAAATATATTTTCTCTTCCCAACACTCTGTCAGCTCCCAATGACTTGGCCTAATGAGTTCCCAAAAGCTAAAAATAAGCATCTCCAGTAGACAGCCGGAGAAACAAAAACATAGGCAGAGGAAAACAGGGACAGAAAAGTCACTTTCAGGGAACAAGAAAAAACAAGGTCCCTTGTGTCTTCATACAGAAACAACTTCTGTTTGTTTGCTTTTAATTTCACTTGATAAATGCATTACAGAGATATCTGCATTACAGAGATATCGCTCATAGCTACATTTCTTTCAGATTCCAATAGCACTGTAAGATAAAACTGAGACTACTTCCAGAGTGGAAAACAAACACTACAGACTGGTCAACAGCATGACTGCGGACAGTGGGTCTGATGGAGCAGAGGGCCCTCTCCCCACCATATCACTCCCACCAGCAGCACTGGAAAAGCACGCCTGAACCCCAGCTCCTAGCACCCCCAGTGCTCGAACAGGCTGCCCAAAGAAATTACAGATGCCCCACCCCCCGTGTGCAGCCTGATCTGGTGGGTGGCAGCCCTACTCACAGCAGGGGGTTGGAGTTCCATATCTTTAAGGTTTCTCCCAACCTAAGCCATACTGTGATTCTGATGACACACTCTATTTCCCACCAGCCTGGTCTATTTGTGGCTTATTTTGGCCAGTCAGCTCTGTGGATTTCAGGGTGGGTTTCTTTTCCTGTGGCAAATGGCACAGCACGCTTTCAGTCTGCTGATTCTTGAAGTTTTAGCACATTAATGCAGCCCTGGTGTTCCCAATTTAGCTCTGTGCCCTTCACACTGGCTTTATCCCTGCTTTCCAGCTGATTTCCTCACTGCACCAGTTCCTACTTGTTCACTGCTCTTTTCAGCCACCCCTTGCAGAGAGCACAGCCTGGCAGGGCCAAGGCTCCAGCCTCACCTGGCACAGGCTCACAGCTGTCACGGGGAAGGGCTGGCTCCCCGCGCTCAGCCTGGTGGCCCCACGACCTGACTGACTGGTTCCTGAGCAACTGGTGGTGTCACTCCCCACCGGCAGCAGGCCACCACTCCACAACCACCTCTGGGACGAGCACCAACCCAAGGCTCCCACCCTGCAACTGTCCCAATGCAAGGGCCCAGCTGCCAGAGCGCCACACTTCCAGCAGGCACCAACGGATCCCTCCTGCACTGAGCTAAGGGACATTTAGAAAGGTCAATCAAGGACAAAGGAACCACTTGAGCTCCCAAAAAAAAAAAAAAAAACCCACATTCCAGAAGTAGGCTAAAAAAAATAAGGGGGAGACTAGAAGATGCGTAAAGAAGACAGGTTAACGTAATGTCCATACGGCTAGCGTGTTTTTCCATGGGAGCTTTTGTTTTCTCACACATATTCCACCAGCACAGGGATAAAAATAACACGACCACAATGACGTCTCTCTAGCAAGAGGAATGACTTATGGATGCAGGCCGAAAGTTAAGGTTTCCTCTTTGCCCCCAATTTGAAACCGTTGCCAGCCAATCAGAGACTCGCCAAAATGATCAGTAAAAACATCCCTTCCTAAAAACCGGAGTGCAACGGGCTCCCAGGGCGCGGGGAAAATAGGGCAGATGGCACCGCAACTCGCGGCAAAGTAACTCCGCTAGCCTCGGTGCACGGCGACGGGGGGATCGGCGCAAAGCTCATTAGCCCGCAGACAGCTGGCAACGGCACCCGTCCGGGAGCAGCGGGAGCTCACGGCGGGGTGCTGGCTTCCCGGCTCGCCCCGGCAGCGCCCGTCTCCCACTATGGGGCTCAGCATCGACTCCCGCCCCGCCGGAAACCCCCCCTGGTGCCCCAAACTGGGCAGCGGGAAGAAACTTGCACGCCTTCTCCTCTCCCCTCCGCTCCGTTCCGCTCCCCAGCTACAGACCCGCGCCCCAACACCCTCGTCCGCCAGCGGGCCCCCCGCCCGCCTCCACGCCCGCCCGGGGAAGGGGCCGCCTACCTGGGGGCTCCGCTCCGCCGGGTTCTTCATCACCGCCTGGCGGAAGCTATTATCCACGTAGGACGCCATCGCGCCTCGCTCCGCCGGCGCGGCGGCCGCTCCCGCCTGGCTCGGAAGGGCGGGACGGCAGAGGGGAGGAGGGCCGGCAGCGGCCTGGAGCGGCGGTCCGGGGCGAGCGGAGGGAGGCGGCGCGGGGACCCCGGCGGCGCTTCGGCTCAGCAGCGCCGCCGCCCGGATTTAGGCCGCGGCCGAGCCCCGGAGGCGCGGGGGCTCCCGGCGGGCCGGAGGCGCCCGGCGGAGGCGGCTGCGCGCTCCCGCTCTACCCGGCGCTGCGCCTCCCGCCGGCTCGCTCCGCCGCATCCCCACGGGCACCTCCGCCGCCTCCCATCCGAGCTGCTAGGGGCTCCGCGCCCGTCTCGGCGACGGGGAAGTTGCTGGCTCGGGGAGGCGGGGCCGAGGCGGGGCGGAGCGGGGCGGGGCGGGGCGGACCGCGGGGGGCCGCGGGCGGCGGGGGGCTGCAGCGTCCGCTTTGTGCGTGCTGCCGGTCCCGGCAACGACGGGTGTAGCCGTGTGCTGTCCCAGACAAACAGCTCCTGAGCGCAGCTGGCGGGGTCGGCGCCCGGGCCCAAGCTGGATTGCGCCGAAACAGGGCTGAGCTCAGCCCGGCTGCACGCCAGTCAGCCTGGGAAGCCAGCCCCGAGAGTCCACGTCCGTCGTTTGAGAGGCTGAAATCCTAAAAAGGAGGGCTCGATAGTCCCGAGGGATGTGCGGCACGAGAGCCGACGTTCTTCCAAGAGGCGTCTGGGTGAGGCGGACAGCAGCTTTGGCGGGGCCACCTGTTGCCATTCCTCCCATCACAGAATCACAGAATGGCCAGGGTTGGAAGGGACCTCAGGGATCATGAAGCTCCAACCCCCTGCCACAGGCAGGGCCACCAACCTCCACATTTAATACCAGCCCAGGCTGCCCAGGGCCCCATCCAACCTGGCCTTGAACACCTCCAGGAATGGACGGGGCTCCCGTTAGGTACTGCAGGCTGCAATGAGGTCACCCAGCAGCCTTCTTTTCTCCATGCTGAACAAGCCCAGCTCCCTCAGCCTGTCTTCGTAGGGGAGGTGCTCCAGCCCTCTGATCATCTTTGTGGCTCCTCTGGACCCTCTCCAACAGCTTCCTTTCTTTCTTGTAATGGGGGCTCCAGACCTGGACGCAGTACTGCA